AAATAACCTAGAATCTTCTTATACAAATTGTTATAATTTTCGTAAGGCAAATTTTCCAATTATGTATAATATGATATCAAATATTGACTGGACTTTTTTAGAAGGCTTTTATAGTGCCGATGATGCCTGTACATATTTTTTTGGCAAGTTGTATAATGTGTTAGATCGTTGCGTACCCAATTATTCAGTGCATAATAAAAAAATATATCCTCCTTGGTTTAATCCCTGTATCATTAAAAAAATAAGAAAAAAATCAAAATTTTGGCGTCAATATAAAAAAGACAATGATATCAGGGCTTTCGAAAAATTTAAGCGCATAAGAGCTGAAGTTACAATTGCATTTAAAACAGCACATGAAAATTATCTGTTAAAAGTAGAGAATGATATATCTATTAACTCTAATAAGTTTTGGACCTACGTCAACAGTAGAAAAATGTCTAGTAAAGTTGCTAATAACATGACCTATGAAAATAATACACTGGATGATCCTGCTGACATACTAAATAGTTTTGCTGATCTTTTTAGCAGGTCCTACGTTCATTGTAAAGTTTTCAATGTTGATGTGAATGAACTTCAATCAACTTGTTTAAATATAGATAGCTCTGACGAAAGCCAGGTACTTGACGCAATAAAATCTATAAAACCTAAGCGTACTACGGAACCCGACCATATTCCTGCATTCATTTTGAAAGATTGTGCCCAAGTACTGGCTTATCCTCTGATGTATGTCCGATTTTTAAAAATGGAAATCGAACTGACGTTAAGAGCTACCGACCTATTTCTATTATTTGCAATTTTTGTAAAGTATTAGAAATATTACTGGAACGCAGTATTTATCAACATATAAATAGTGCGTTATCCACTTAACAACATGGATTTGTAAAAGGTCGATCAATAGTAACGAATCTCTCAGTCATTACTCAGCATATAGCAGAAAATATTAATAAACGTATTCAGACTGATTTTATTTATACAGATATGACTAAAGCATTTGACAGACTTGACCACGGATTTTTAGTAAAAAAACTCTGCTTTTGGACTCTCAGATAGTCTTATTGACTTACTAAAACCATATTTGTATAACCGTTCACAATACGTTCAGCTCAATGGGTTCAAGTCTGTTAAGTACCTTGCCACATCGGGAGTCCCTCAAGAGTCGAATCTTGGCCCGCTCTTGTTTAATATTTTTAAAAATGACATTGGTAGTGTAATTAATGTTAATTATTTACATCTGCTGATGACCTTAAATATTTATGCTTCCATAAATAGTATTGCTGAATGCGAGCGACTTTCTGAAAATTTAAAACAATTTACTGAATGGTGCCATAGAAATAATTTAAATTTGAACCCAGCCAAGTGCAATGTAATTTCATACTCCTTAAAGTCAGATCCAACTTTTTACCAGTATATTGTTGACGAAACTCCCTAAAACGACCAAAAAACTTCGCAGATTTAGGAGTTCTATTTGATTCAGCACTTTCTTTTACTGACCATGTCGATAGTATTGCATCTTCATCTAATCGCACATATGGATTCATAATCAGAAACAGTCGTGATTTTAAGAAAGTAAATACCATAAAATGTCTGTATTATGCTTTTGTCCGATCCAAGCTTGAATACGCGTCACTTATATGGAGTTCATTGTATCAAGTACATATTGGTCGATTGGAAGGAATTCAGAGACGATTCCTAAAATACTTAAGTTTCATTGTACTTTATTTACTGTAATATTTTTAATTTTTGTATGTTACGTCTAAATATGTTTGTCATATTTTCCTATTCTGTAATTGGGTATTGTAGAATAATGTATTTAATTAATAAATAAATAAAAACATACATATCTGCAAAATATTTGATTTTACAAGGATTTAGCATTCAATAGTCTAATGGGGATAAGAAATATTCTTAACTAAATATGTTTGAATGCGATTTGCGCGGCTTTGCCAAAGCTAGTTAAAATAATTTAATGGTGTTCCATTTTAGGAAGAAATTCCATATTTGACTTACCTCTATTATTTACTTGGTATGATAAATGACAATTTCGATGATAACAAAGTAATGGGCCTTTTTTAGAGTCCCTAGTACTTTTATGAACACAATAAATATCTAAGCATTATCATAGACAGGCATGGATATACATACAAATATAGAAAACAGAAGCACCGTTTGCATGTAATGTTCGTATTATGGGATTTTCATATATTTTTTTTGACACTGCACTTACCAATTTATCTCTTGTTTTAATTTACAGTCACCACTCTTTATATTTTATATTGTGTTGTTATATTTAATCTATTGTATTGTTGGAGGTAATTATATATTTGCACACCCTATTTATACATTTCTTTTCGCACACAAGTTATAACGCTACAACTTCATGTGATTTAACGTTTATTTACTTACTATAGTGATTATTGAATTGTTTTTTTGAGTAAATAAACTATATTATTATTATTATTATTATTATTATTATTATTATTATTATTATTATTATTATTATTATTATTATTATTATTATTATTATTATTATTATTATTATTATTATTATTATTATTATTATTATTATTATTATTATTATTATTATTATTATTATTATTATTATTATTATTATTATTATTATTATTATTATTATTATTATTATTATTATTATTATTATTATTATTATTATTATTATTATCATCCATAATTTACATCTCGACAAATATGGGCAATCCTTTTTTTTATTTTGAAAAACATGGATGATCAATCTATATAGCTCTCTAGATCATTGACCCTGTCAAATTACCAGGCCCACAAGGTTGCCATATCATAACCTGTCAAAACCCAATGGCAGCCATTTTGTTTGGAATGTCTAATTTTTGGGGTCTTCCTTGTTTTTTTGACCACACTTCACAATTCGAAAAATCTGGTTCATTTCAAAGAATGTGGTAAATTTTTATGGAATCTGGTACATTATATATAGGGTGTCCCGAAATTAGACGGTCATATTTTAACAGCGTAATCTACATCCTAAAATAGGAGTAAAAGTTTATATAAACATAGGTCCGAAAACGTTTCTTTTCCGAGATACAGGGTGTTAAAAGTGAAGTCCTGATGACACACTTTTGTAAATAAACGTTTAAAGATATCTTAGTGAAATTTGGTACAAATGCTTAACTTTTACGCTGTATTTAATAGACTAAACTCTAGTTTTTGATCATCTTATTAGGTGGGTAAATTAGGGGGGGCTTAGTGTAAAATTGCCCTAATTTTTTTTGTTGAGTTTTTAACATTTTTGACTATAAAATTTGGAAAACCAATGTTTTCTTTATAATAAAGCTACTTTTGTTGCATCTCGCTAGGACGCACCATTATCAAGAGAAAAGCATTTGAAAATTTCATGATAAGTTGATGTTATCTTATTCAAAAGTGTAAACAATAATTAGTAGGCCTGTGGAATCAGAAATTTATTTTTCCGACTACCTCTATCCAAAGTGTACATTTTCTGGCCTCATTGCAGGAAGCAAAGTCGGGAAAAGTACTTTTACTCCCTAGGGAGAAAAAGTAAAAGTGACGCCATGGTATGTCAAATGAAATAGCTTATACGGCATTGACGACCTAAACTATATTCTATTATATAAGTATAAATTTTACCGTTTATTTATAGAACACCCTGTATTTTGCAAAATAGTAAAAACCAGTAAATTGTTATTTTAATTTAACGATTTTTACATTAATAATGACTTCAATTCATAGATTCATCCGATTTTCGAATTTAGGACAGAAATATTATAGCATGCTATGGTCGATTGACAGATCAGTTTCTGATTTAAGCGAATTTGAAGATATAATTAATACACCACCGGATATTTTGGAACAGGTTAATACAACAGTACAATCTCTATTACCCCAAAAATCTAAAGAAAAATACGAAAAACAATATTTACATTTCAAGCAATGCGCCGAAGAAAATTATTTAAAAATTACTTGTTATTTGAGGGAAGCGGAAAAATCATATGTATTACTTGGCAGTAAAGTGCCTTTTCCTCCCTTGGATGTTTACTGCCCTCCGCTTCGCGTCGGGCAGTAAACGTCATCCTGCGGGAGGAAAAGTGGCACTTTCCTCCCTAGTAATACAAATAGCTGTTTTTTTTAACTTTGGAAAACCGGTGACTAAAGAAATTTTAGAAAATATTTACAAAAACGTGCCATCCGGACTTCACTTGTAACAGCCTGTATCTCGAAAACGAAACGTTTTTGGACCTCTGTTTATATGAACTTTTACTCCTATTTTAGGATGTATATTACGCTGTTAAAATATGACCGTCTAATTTCGGAACACCATGTATATCATTAGAATGGGAAAATGTTTGTCTTTATTTGTATCTCACAGCCAACGACCCGTTCCACATAAAAAATACAACTTTATGCTATAACTCGAATTTAAAGAATTTAAAAAAAAAGTGCCTGAAAAAGGTATAAATTATTTTCTTCCACTTTGATAAATAAGCGAAATAATGCCACATAATGAAAATTTAAAAAACCAACTTTTGTTTATAACTCGAAAACAAAAGACAGCCTATTTTTGAAAATGCCATTAAGTTTTTTTTTTTAAAGAGATCGGGGATGGGAGGTTCATTTTCCCATACCATTTATGGTTAACAAGATTCTCTAAGTTTATGACTACCACACTTATTATAGCTAAAAATGAATTTATGCCTTAAAAATTGCGATCTAATTTTGATCAATTTTTTGTTACATTTCAATCCCGGTACTGCTTTCGTTTTCATTTAAGATTTATTAATTTGACATTTAGCAATAAAAATAAACGCGATGGCGAGATGAGCAATTATTAATTCAACATCACGTAAATAAGTATAAATAGTATAACGAATTTGCTTCGATATTAATTTGGTAGTACATGCAATAATTATACAAATATACATAATATTCTAATAATCAAAAATAAAATTAAAAATAATTATTGATTCTTTAAATTAAACTCCTCGTGTTTATTACAGATCATAAAGATAACAATGCCGAAATCAGATCAAACAATTAGCGGTCATAAAATGGAGCTTCTTGATAAAAAGGAAAATGTTAAAACCGAAATTGTCACTTACCGCTTCGCAGTCAACGAAGAAACAATGCTTAAAGTGCTTCCACCGATCACTTCCAGGTTTTATCAGATTTTTTTCACATTATGCGGTAAGCAATTTATGGTTTACTAAACGAAGTCAATGTTGATAACATTAAATTACTTTATTTGTCCTTAAGATTTTTTTTAATAGAATTTACAACGCTTCTTGATTTTAATACTTCAATAGTTTTTACTTTTTTATTATTATTATTTAGATTTATTATAGGGCTATTCTGTAAAATATCAGTTACTTACATTTTTGGTATTTTTTCGCGCCATAAACCAACAAACGTTTATAATAGATTATGTTATTTAAACGTCAATATACGTCTAAAAATACCTTCTTCTTATTTTAACATTATATTCACATAATGTTGAAGGTATACTAATATAATGTTAAATTCGTCATTTTGTTTTTCGTGTTCTGTAAGTAAAAATGACATGCAGTAATTAATTTATCATTACCCTAATACTAATGGACGTACACTGAAAAAAATCTATTATATTAACAAAAACTGTTACAATAACAAATCTTACCTACAAAAAATTTTGTTATAACAAAATACTTTTTGAATAAAGATAATTTCCTGGCCGTAGCAGAATTTTCCTTGGTATATTCGGTCATGTTTTTATTTTCTATCGTTTAGCACAGCACTACATATGTATCGGAAAAATTTCCATCATCGGGTGCAGTCAAAATTTAATAAAATATGGGGACGATTACATACAGTTTAAAAATTTTACAATAACAGAAACCCCATCTTTCTGTTTTAGCGTGTGAAGGTGTATTTGAAATAATGATTTGGTTTAACACGATAACGATAAAGTAAGGAAACAAAAAGATGAGTTAAAAATTACCAGTGGCGTTACAGTTAAGGATTAGAAAGCTTACATTATTTAATAATATTAAAATAAACGTTTAACAAATCTTTTATGCAGTGGAGACTTGTCCTAAGGGGCGAAAAGGCCTTGGCACTGGCGCAAAATTTCTAAATATTTCTGTCTCAAAAAATATTTATTTTTATATTAATTACAATAATTATTACAATTGTCGGATCAAATTATGGCTAAACGAAACATATAAATTATTTATCATTATTTAATTTGATTCCATTGGAAAAACTTGCGTCGTATTATTCCTAGACACAACTGAAAAATCGGGGATACTAAAACACCGGTAACCAAATAACCCTTTTATTCACGTGTCACTCATTACAATTTGCCAAATGCGACTGCCTAAAATTCCTGCGCGCATCGGCCGTCGCATTCGTACATACACAAGATATCAAAACAATGCACTAGAGATGGGCGCGGTGTAACAATTGTAACTATTCATTTACCATACATTACACCACCTCCACCTTAATAGATCCTACTTAACTAAGACCGATTTATATACAAAAAAAAACATTAAAATCTTAATCGATCTGGTTCTCTCCTATTTCTAATAGGGCGCATAGATGAAGGAGAAAATTGCTCTTCTAATATCTCCGATTGTGTTAGAGTCTGCCAGTTATTGAGTACATTATCTGTACCTTTACAAATCTGCTCCGCATTAAAAAAAGTATTCTCATTCTCACCCTCTCTACTATGCTCCCCTGACAAATCTTTAGGATCACTTGAAAAAAATTGGCAACTGCTATCATCTAACTCTTCATGATTAAATAAATCTGACATAAGTTTATACTTAAGCTGGTTGCTATGTCTTTTCCAAGTGCGGTTACCATCTAGTGGTTTGACAATATAAACATTTTTTCCCAAAATTTTAACTACTTTTGCTTTGCACCAGGTGCTTTTCGCAGTTCTATAGTCTTTTGTTAACACTGTGTCACCTATCAAAAATTCAGCTTTCCTTTTTCCTCTATAATATTTTTTATTGCGCTTATTGGCTTCTAGTAAATTACCACGAACTGTTTCAATGCTATTTTGTATTGGACCTTGACTTCGCAGGTTCGAGGGTTTAATTAAATCTAATCGTGTCCTTAAAGGGCGTTTTAAAAATATTTTAGCTGGGCTTTCGCCAGCTGAACAATGGATTGTATTTCTGTAGGTTAGCAGAAATTTTGATAGAGACAGATTTACATTTTTCTGGTCCAATTCTTTATATAAGAAACGTTTGATTGTTTTTACACTGTTTTCTGCGGCCCCGTTACAATGGGGTGAATATGGTGGCGAAGTGATGTGTTTGATGCCATTAGCTTGGGTAAAATGCTGAAATTCTTGTGATTCGAGTTGAGCTCCATTATCCGAAACCAAAATTTCTGGTAACCCGTACCTAGCAAAGGTTTCCCTTAATTTACTTATAGTAGCTGATGATGTGATTGAGTTCATATGAAATACTTCAATCCATTTAGAAAAGGCATCAAGAATTATTAAAAAAAATTGATTTTTCTTTGGTTCAGCAAAGTCAATATGAATACGAGACCACACATCTTTGGGTACTGGCCAACCTTGCAGTGGGACCTTAGGGGGGTTTGACTGAACTTTTAGACATTGTTCGCAAGTTTTGCTCAAATGTTCAATGTCCTGGTTAAGGGACGGCCACCATACATAAGATCGTGCTAAAAGTTTCATTTTGACAATTCCGAAGTGTGCACTATGCAATTCGCTCAAAATAAGAGAATGGAGTTTACTTGGAATGACTACCCTTTGACCCCATATAATAACATCCTCATCAATAGTGAGTTCGAAACGTTTTAAAAAATATGGTTTAATTTCTGGACTGACATTATGAGGCCAGCCTTCTCTCAAATACTGGCAAATTTTAGACAAAATTGGATCTGATCGGGTTTCGTCCCGAACCTTTTTAACGTCAATAGGAATTTCAGAATTTTCACTTATATAGTGTAGGCCTATTTCGTCAATTTCGAGATCAGACATTTGGTTATCTTTCTCGGTATCATTTACTGGTAGTCTGCTTAAAAAATCAGCAATATTTTGCGTGGTATGCACATATTTAATGTCGAAGTCAAAACCACTTAGAAAAACTGCATAACGCTGCAGCCTGTTTGCAGCGAGAATAGGAATCCCGCGTTTTGGTCCAAAAATGGAGACTAAAGGTTTGTTATCTGTGATTAAGGTAAATTTGTTCCCGTATAAATACTGATAAAATCTTTTAATTCCCCATACGATAGCTGTCGCTTCTTTATCCAATGCCGAATATGACCTTTCAGCTTTCGTTAGTGTTCGACTAGCAAAACAGATAGGCCTATCTGTCCCATCTTCAAAAGTATGTGAAATAACGGCTCCTATTCCGTAATCAGAACTATCACATGTCAAAGTAACCCTCAAATTTGGATCGTAATGAACTAAAATTGATTTAGAAGACAAAATTAATTTTATTTTATTAAATGCTTCTCGACAACTATCGTCCCACTTCCAAGTGGTACTCTTCTGTAATAATTTATACAAAGGGTTGAGTACGTCAGGGATATTTGGGATAAATCTATTGTAGTAATTTATTGTGCCTAAGAATGACTTTAACTGAGTCACGTTCGTAGGTTCTGGAATATTTTCAATAGCTTTGATTTTCTCTGGGCACCGGTGAAGCCCATCTCTATCAATCACAAAACCCAAATAGGCCACTGATTCGACAAAAAAAACGCACTTATCTTTTCTTACCGTGAGCCCTACCGATTGAAGCGTCTCTAAAACCTTGCACAAGTTTGCGATGTGTTCGGTCCTGGTTTTTCCCGTCACCAGGATGTCATCTAGAAAAATTGCAATACCCGGCATTTCTGAGAAAATTTGTTCCATTCTACGTTGGAATTGAGACGGTGCCGACGATATTCCGAAACATAAACGATTATACTGAAAAAGGCCCTTATGAGTGCTAATAACGGTAAACTTCCGCGAGGAGGGTTCTAACACGATCTGTTGATATGCCTGACTCAGGTCTATTTTCGAAAATTCTTGACCCCCTTGTAATTTAGCAAATAAATCGTCAATGCGAGGTAAGGGGTATTTATCGGCTAAAATATAAGGATTTATCGTGATTTTATAATCGCCGCATATACGCACAGTCCCATCTTTTTTTTGCACAGGAACTATTGCTGAGGCCCATTCGGAAAAATCTACTGGTGAAATTATTTTTTCTTTCTGTAATCGTTCGAGCTCCCCTTCTACTTTATCCCGCAAGCTAAAAGGCAAAGGCCGAGGTTTAACAAATTTTGGTACTGCGTCGGCGCGTACATAAAGCTTTAATTGTAAACGATTGAAAGTTCCGAGTTTTTCCGAAAAAACATTTGAGTAATTTTGGGTTATTTTGCCAACCCAGTCTTGGTTTATGTAATTTAATTCTTTAAACCCCAGATTATAATGTCTAATAAAATTTCTTCCTAGCAAGGATGGGCAGTCCCTAGACATGATATAAAATTCTAAATTATTGACTTTATCGTGGAATTTTACAGGTAGTTCAGTTTTTCCTAGAGGTTTAATCTTGTCACCTGAAAAGTTCACTAATGAAATTTTGGTTCCTGCTAAAGAATAATTTTTAAAATGTGTATTATAAATACTATATGGCAAGACTGAAACGGCTGACCCTGAATCCAACTCAAATTTAAACATTTTACCCTCAATATCAATATCTATGCAAATAGGTACGTCACTGTTAGACTTTAAACACAAAACAGGTGATTCGGTCTCTGATTCAATTTCATCAACTAAAAAATTAAGCTGTTTATGATTTGATTGTTTACATACCGCCTGCAGGTGACCCCTACCTCCACAAAGGTTGCAAATATATTCCTTATATGGGCATCTTGCCGCCACGTGATTTTTCCCACAACGGAAACACTTAAGCGCACTAGCACTAACACTCTCACTAGCACGTGCTGATTCTCTTCCTCCAATCCATTTTCCATCTCTTGATTGCCTCGAAAAAGCCCCGAAACTGGGAACTTGTTGTCTGGAAGATCCTTGAGAGGACGAGTTTGCGCGGTATTGGTGCCGAACTGAACCGGCACTATCAAACTGCTGTTGCCTCCCCCTGCTAATCTGGTGCACATCCAACTCCGAAATTCCTGGTTCCTTTTTAATGTAAACTTCCGGCACTTCTTTCAAGCCCGCT